TGCTGCCCCTTTCAGACTCGCCTTGGCACTGGAACTGTGAGGGACTTGCACTCCTTCCAGGCTCGGTGCAAGCCTCCCGGACGGTGACATTTCAGCAGGACCTACGGTATCCGTAGTGCGACACATCCTGGTGCAAGTTCAAAACAGGTCTATGAAGATGTACTGGTGCACCTCAAATACCACAAGTGGATGGCGAAACTCAAAGTCACCTCATGCCTCGTGAGGCCTAGTTGCTATTTCAGGAAGCTCTTTGAATTCAGACGGCCTCTCTCCGTGTCGCCTTTGGGCCGCCATTTCAGCTGCTCACCTGAAAGAGTTCAAGTTCACACGCATTCTCTCGCTTTGTTAACAGGTCAATAGGCAAGAGGTCATGTCAGTCATCATGTCAGTGGCTTCTTGGGTAGAACTTGGCAAAGGCTCTTCGAGTGGCTGCACCCTGTTACCTTTCACCTATGCCTGAGAACTGTTTCAAGAAAGAACCTTTAAGTTCAAATATGTCCTTCACCGACAAGAGGTGCTACTCAAACACTGGATGCCCAACACTTGAATCAAGGAGTTCCATGGCAGCAAGCTTGGCTTTGGCAGTTTGTGCTTTTGATACCCAAGCTGATGAGTGCAGCGAAGGCGCCAATAAGGGGCAGTTTTTGCCTCAATTGCAAGGATAGAGAAGGCCTGCTGACTTTTCACACCTCCATTATGCAACAGTTACATATCAGGGTTCAAGGACGTAATACCATGCATATGGCTGCTCACAATGGGCTCTCTAGCAACCCTAGAGTCGAGGACATGACCCCGGTGCTAATCTCTCCGCAGAAAAAGATTCCCAAGTCAATCTCATTTGAGATATTTGAGAATCAGTGAAAATGACCGCACGGTCGCCCCATCCAACGTGGGCCCAGACGGCAAGCCCTTTACTCCAACCGGCAGCAGCTTCTCAGCAGCACCCGTGGGCCCTGGCGCAGCGATTACACTCAGGACTCGGCAAAAAACAGGCTCAGGAATTCATTTGATTGCAAATTCATGACATTGTGACAGTAGCGGTCAGTAGCGGACCACAACCGATCGCTCAAGACTCAAGGCCCAGCTGTGCCTGCCCACCATTTCCGGGACCGCAGCCTCAGCCAGCGGAAAAGGCCGTCGGTGTTACGGTGTTAGGACAAATATCCAACACTAACCCTCGACTAGCACATGAAGGAATTCCGAGCTGCATCCGTTGTGCAGTCTATTCATCTTACTACTTCCGATCAGGATTCAGGTACCCCATCCTGAGAAATGGTGGAGGCGAGCGGTGGTGGTGGTTGTTGTTGTTGTTGTTGCTGCTGCTGCTGTTGTTGTTGTTGTTGCTGGTGTTGTTGTTCGTGTTGTTGTTGGTGTTGTTGTTCGTGTTATTGTTCGTGTTGTTGTTCATGTTGTTGTTCGTGCTGTGGTTCCTGGTGTCGTTCGTGGTGTTGTTGTTGGTGGTGGTGGTGGTGGTGGTGCAATGACCCACACTCCTGTGGCGTATACAGCGTGGTCGCTGAAGTTGCAGCTACCTATGAAACCTTTGTTGCAAGCAGCAGTGAGCTGTGAAGGAAGGCGGGTTCGGAGAGCCTGGCTTGCTGAACAGGTTAGATGGACGTGGCCTGCCAGGTACACTGTATGTTTGGAAGGGACGAACCAGTTCCAACTGTTAGATATGGCCTTTTGGAGAGAAGCTGGAGAAAAGCTCGAGCAGCTAGGCTTGTGAAAATCTTGGGGTTGTGGCTATGTTTGGCCATTTTGGGAGTATGTTAGGCCACAAAAATAATGCGAAACAAATTATTACTAATATTACTAATATTATTGATATTATTAATAATATTATTGTTACCATTATTGTTGTTGTTGTTGGGTCATCTCAGGGATATGTTAGGGCCAGCTTGGTGCCAGCGGCTATGTTGGGGCCATCTAGCGGCTAGACTGGGGCTATTTTGGGGCCATGTTGAGCCATCTTGGGGCTATGTTCAGCCATCTTGAAGCTATATCTTGGAGCTATGTTGGGCCATCTTGGTGCTATGTGGGACCACAAAAAAAACGGCAAAGCAAGTTATGCAACCCCACCCACGTCGCATTAGCAGCTTAATTTGCTAGAAACGCTGTGGTTTTGAAGGTCTTTGGATAATACCATAAAACCACGGTACACTGAAGGGGGGAGGTACCCCTACCCGGTCGGCGGCAAAGCCCATACTCCGATGGGGCTATAGGCCCTGGCCGGACAAAAGGCACTGACCTTTACCGCTGACAAGCTCCTCATCGACATGTTCTTTCAAGAGCTTAGCCCCGTTGAAATGAGCTCTGCAGTCATCCCAAGTACTTGGAAAGCTCTTTTGTCAGAGGTGTTTTTCCTTAGTGAAACGACATGCGTTCTTTCCGCTCGGCATGACTGCCAACCCCTTCATCCCAGCAACCCACTTGTCACACCGTGCTCAATGAGTCGGAGGTCGATGACGGCCTTGGTTGACGGACCAAGCACCGAGGTCTTGGCAATTGAGTTCAAACGGCTAGGTGGGGCTGGAATTTGGTCCTACATACATACCTAGCTACCCATCTATCTATATATGTATCTCTGTGTGTGTTTGTTTGCATGTATCTATCTATCTACATACTTGTCTATCTACCGAGTGATCGATGCTGTGTACGGTATTCTTATTTGTTCATTGTGCTTTATATATATATATACATAAAAAATACATACGTTGTATATATATATATATGCCTGAGACGAAAGCCAGCGAGGGACCAATATGGTAGTGCAAGACTGGGAGGAAAAATAGCGAGCACTTATTGTTGAATGCCTGTAGTTTTCGTGGAGTTTGTATCAACGCGGAGTAGATCAAGATCGGAGCACAGCATGAAGTGTTGAATGTTTTTTAGGTTTTCTCGATTCTCCTGGCGCGGTGCTCTCTGGAGCGTCCCTGTTTGGTGGTCTATTTGAGAATCCGTGTAAAAATAAACGTTAGTGAAAGGTGGTTTTCGGTTGTGTTGAAATGTGTTTCGGGCATCGTGCATCAATGCAATGCGAAGCCCTATAAAGAGCAGGGCTGGGAGAAAAAAAGAGGAGAGCACTCGTTCTTGAATGGTTGTAGTTTTCGTGGAGCTGGTATCACTGCGACGTAGATGAAGATCGGAGCACAGCATGAAGTGTTGAATGTTTCTAGTTTTCTTGATTTGCCTGGTGCGGCGCCTTCTGAAGCGTCCCTTGCTGGTGTTCTATTTGAGAGTCCGTGCAAAAATAACTGAGAAGTAACAATACGTGAGCCAACACGAAAAAAAACAGCGATGCCCGAAAGATCTCTTTCGCTGTTGTCGGCCATATTTCGGGCATCGCGTGTTTAAGTCTTCGACACGTGGCCACAGAGAGTTGCTGCTAAGCGCCCCTGGCTTGCTCGCTACGAAACCTCAGAGCTGCAGCCTGCTAAAGCTTGTCCAGAAGTGCCCCTGATCTGTGCATGCCCCAGGTCTAAGCAAAACAATCAGACTCCGTATGGAGATACATAATGAATGCCGCCCGAAGGATCCCACATCCTTTCTGTTGCTGTGGTAAATGTTTTGGGCATCGTGTTGAACGCTTCCGCATGTCCCCGCCTTGAGTTCACCCTCGCCCAACTGGACATACTCACATCGTTCGCTGCCAGAGCGTTCACTCACAGTCCCTATGTCCTGCTCAGGACTAGAAAAATTGTTTCCAGACCCCTTCATGATGCTGATGATGCACTACTCGGTGTCATTTACATCACTTGCATCACCAAACCACTTTTTCGATGCTTTCCTGACCCTACTTTTGAACGCTCTCCCCCACCAGGCTCAAGGTTCGACCTCCCAAAAGTGGCCTCTGCGCGACCACCCCCCCCACACCCCCTTTATTCACTTCGTTCACCCTAAAAACTCAAGCCTTCGTGATATATGAGACACACATATATATATATATATACAATAATCTTTGTTTACCTACCTTTACCACAATCATATGCAATCATACCTCCCCATGGTTCTATTGAGAGCGCGAAACGCTGATGTCTATTCGATAACTTAAGTGGTCAAGAGCTGCCAATTAACTTGTGCCGCATGATGAAAAGTCCGAAAAGTTGAGGCCTTTGACTATTGAATTGAATTACAGTCGAAGTCAAAGATTGGGTGTTTGTGTTTGACGCTTGACTTCCTGACCTGGTTTTCAAATTAAATCGAATTGAAGCATGGCTACCAGGTAAGGGGCCAAGGCATTGATGGCACAAAACAATTGCTGTTATCGTGGTAGCAAAGGCACCTTGCCAATAGGGCCTCCAAAATCCAAGCGGGGCTCAACTTCAGAATGATGGTCGCGGCAAAGTTAAGCGGAGGGGACTGGACATGCTGTTCGGCAATCTGTGATTTTCCTTGGCAATGCTTTCTCTCAGCCATACATTTACAGGTTCCATTTCGGGGAACCTTCCTCCTTGGCACATGGGATGAAAGGAAATAGAAAAGCATCAAACAGCAAGAAGCTGGATGGTTCTAATCTGTATTGAACACTTTCTTGTCCGTTTTGTTGCTTGCATTCTTTGTGGCCTTGTTCCCAAAGATGACCGTCTTGCGTGCCGGAGCTGGATCCCCTCTGGGACCTACAAATCCATCAGGGCGTGAACTTCTGTCCGCCAGGCACTCGAGCGCGTCTTCCAGTCGAATAATGAGGTTATTCGTGGAGTCCAACTACATGGGGTCAATATCGAACGAATTTTCAGAGTAAAGGCGTCTTTGCAAACTGAGCCCACCTGCAAGATACTCGCCCATCAAACACCAAAGCACCGAAGAATGCAGCTCGACAGTGGCACGTTCGAGCACTTCGATCTACTGCTGAACTTTGGCAGCATGTGCGGTTCAAAGGCCGGCGAAGGCCGGCCAGCCAACGTTGCTCGAAGATGGTGAAAAACATCACTTTTTGTATCAACGCCCAAACAGAAAGGATCTTTAAACAGAAACAGTCCTTAGTCCTTTCACTAATAAATGGTCAAATGGGGGTTTGAAGCTGAGCAAACAGGGCAAGTCACAGCATTCCTCTGACCAGCCCAAAGGCATTTCCTGTTCGCCAAATTAAAGCGGCGCTCAGGCGACATGACACGCAGCTGGCAATCAACGACAATCTTGTTGCTACAATGCTGAATACTACAGTAATCTAGACCCAATGCCAGAATGCTGTTCAAGAGCAGAACCACGGCAATCTTCACATAAACTGCAGTTGCCGCACCCATGCCAATGCGCAAGATGTGCAATGTGTTGGATGCCCCGACGATTGTCATATCCAGCCACTTGCACAGGATCAATTCACAGCTTGCAGCCTTTCCAGGCCCCCCTGTCATCGTGCGTTCGTGCAATCCACCAAGGGTTTCTCATTGCAGTCATATTGAGTCATGTCTGCAGTAGCTTCTTAATACAAAAGAGACCTCAGGACATCCGAATTGATTGTGAGCACATCTGCCCTTGATGTATTGAACTGTGGAAGCCTCCACGTCGGCTGGGGTACCTTACCTTCACCAAATGGTTTTCTTTGGTCACAAGACCAAGGCCCCTAGCAGCAACCCCAGGATTCCAGACATTAAACTGCAGACTGCCATCAAGGAAATGTTCTTCCATCTTGGTTGCCTGGAGCATGTCGATGTTTTGAAACAAAGAACATTAACACAAGCAACGTAAATCGATCGATTGCTTTCTCAGCTCACCCCACCTCTACAGCACTTCGAGCACTCGAACCTGTCCGTCTGAACTTCCCACAGCCTGGCGCTCTGCCACTGCGAAACAAACTGATAAGACAGGTACGGGCCCCATCTTAACCTCTGGCTACAGACCTTGCCAGCCCTGAAATGCTCAAAACAGCTGGACTGAAATCTTTGGAAAAACAAGCTCATTTAGAAGCCATCAAGGCAGGGAAGCTTCCCGTCACTGATTGCTGGCCTACCTTCAGCCAAACAGGATTGACACGGGATTGCTTGCACCCGCTAGGTGACTTGGTGGAGAGTTTAAGATGATCTATTCGTCGAAAGGATTGTGTGATTTGCGCATTGGTCTTGCTTTCTGCAACCAAGCAACGGCCATCTTAGAACTAATCGACCAGTCCACAGTGAAGACAGGCTTCCTCGATGCAGGTTCGTGGGACGAGAGTCGGAGCCAGGGAACGGTTTCTGAGGCCATCGTGCCTCGTGCGAACAACTCAAATCGGACAACTCGGTGGACGAACTCGGACGACTCGAATTCGGGCGATGAAAAACCCCGTGTTGCTCCAGGGCACGGCATCGACACTAAAGCCCCAAAGGGCACTGGCATGGCCCCTGGCTGCCGCAAGAAGAACTTGGCCTCAGCGTCGCCACAGCGAACAAAGCTCCGTCCGGAAGACCAGTGTATCAAAACAGGGAGACCCAAGCAATGGGGTTTAGACGGGTGTAGTCTGTAGTCTACCATGCCCCAACCATCACTCTCCACAGAGTCTGTTTTTGAAAATTCTTGTTGACCAATATATAAATTGTTGCAGTTCTTAACATAGCAAAAGGACCCTGCTTGCTTGCACTTGAAAGCATCAAATGCTGACTGACCCCACCTCATTCTCCTGAGAACCACCCGCCAGGATCATGCTGCTCCCGGCATCCTCGCAAGAGTCATGCTTTGAAGGCACACCTGCTGATAGCGCCTGTTGCTGCTGTCTGGTTCTGCATTGATGCACTCCAAAGCGAGAAATCTAGAAGGGTAGATGAGATCATGCTAATCATCCAATCCGGGCCTCTTCAAGACTGAGTGAAATTGCTTGCTTCTGGTAGGGCTGACCCATTCCACAACTACCTCCCAACAAGTGTAGTATGCTCGTATCTACTGTGTTTGGGATGCAGATTTCCTGCACAAGCGACTTGGGCGCTGGTCATGGTTGGTCCGCCTATGTACTTGGAACCTGCATGTGTGCAAGTACCTCACAAGCAGCTCGCTACTTTTCAAAAAGAGAAAAAGGAGTTGCGGTTCTTTGCAATTCACGGCTTTACGCAGCAGTCCTTGCTGAACTGAGCCGCGAAGAGCTGGCAGGGGCTCCTCGGGATCAAATGGAGTGCGTCACAAGCTAAAAGGAAGGCATGACTTCATTCAATGTCCAACAAGGTCGCCCTGTGCGTCCAAAAACAGATTTGCAGCGCAAGCATCTTGGAGGAAGCGCTTGCCCAGTCAATCGTCTGCGCCACCTGCAGGCAAAATTTCAAGGCGGTTGACACGCGGAAGTCGATCGCCCAACCGCAGACTGCGGACCAGATCACTTCACGGGCCTTGCCGGAGGCAAAGTCCCAGATCTGGAGAGAGTTCTCAGTTCTCCACGAGCCTGCCCAGCACCGGCAAAGTGTTACACAAGGATCCACGAAAACTTCGCACCACGAATTTGCTGGATCCTGTTTGGCTATCTACATCCAAAATGTCCAAGAACGATCCGCCCATCTGAGATTGGTGGTACTTACGACCAATGTAGCATATAAGCCAACTGTACTTTCTTGAAATTATGTTGTATTCTATGCACAGAACCTGTGGGAGAAACTGACATGAGTTATTTTGGGGGCCTGCCTGCTGTCTCGCAATGTTCGTCTAAGAGAATTGGGTGTTTATTTACGTCCCCGTCTGTCTCACAATAAAGGTCACAAAGGCCCCCGAAACAACAAGCTTTGTTCCCTTTAGTCGATTCTCAAAAACTGGCCATAGCCATAGCTCAACCCATCTGAGGCTGATCTTCCTTCTCCTTGCCGAATCGAAGCCAACGCCACCCCAATCGGTATCGCCTGTGAGGATCTGCCGTCCATCGCTGGAGATATCCACCGCGTCGCCACCTGCATTCCGAGCGATCTGAGGTTCAACGGATACATCTCTGGCAAGCCGGCCGCTCCTACTTCAATAAGTCGGCGCCTACTTAGTTGAGTAAGGGAGCAAGCTTTTGGCTACTTAAGCTACTACCTACTGGATCCAGGATAGCTCACGCTTTTTCAAGGAAGCTCACCTAGCCCGAGGGCTGGGGAGAGCTTCCTTGAAGAAGCGCTCGCGCTAATGATTTGGTTTCTAGATGTCTAGGGAAACTCAAATATAGCAACCAATGCGCAGCAACTCCCCCGGCTGCCATTGACACTGGCATGAGAATGAAAGAGGTTGGCATCTCAAAAGGACCCCTGGCGGATGTGACTGATTCTGTCTTTCCCAGTAAAATATCTTGTTTTCGGGGGCAGAGTTACTTTGACGTCTCGGGGTCTGACAAGTGGGCGTTGGTCTCTTCAAAGTCTTGCTTCTTGTTTAGGAGGGTACGTGAAGGCTTTCGATCGCACCAATGGGTCATGCAAAATTCCCATGCCACCCTAGTTTGTCTCTCTCCATAGTCCGTCTTCTTGCCACAGGCACAGTATAGCTCTGCTCAAACTACTGCGATAGACTCTGTAAATGACCAGCTTTGCACTGACAAATGCACCCAAGGCACAAATGTAGGCGTTCCAGAGGCTCTTCACAGAGATACCTTTTCTGGTGTCCCAGACTTGGACCTCAAACCGCTTTGGAATCATGTCAAACTTCCATCGGCAAAAACCGCCAAACACCAAAACGTCCCCAAACGTGGTGTGAGTGCCATCGTGACTACTAGCGATTTGACAACTAGTGACGTGCAGAACCACAGCAACAGCTAATCAGCCACAGGCGCCGTGTTGTCCCAGCCACCAGAGAGAATGATGTTGGGATCTTCTGGGTGATACTTCAAAGAGAAGATCCGGTTTGAGTGTCCTGCTGTCTCCTCGCAGAACAAGCAGAAGGCAACTGTCCAAAGAACAAGCAGAATTGTTCATCACCTCTACGTGTCGAGCAGATCGTGATGTCTTGCACAAAATCCCACAAGCCCCCCAGTTCCCAAGGTACAACACGCGCATAACCCTCTCTTCGTGTCACTCGATGTTCGCGTTTCGGCGCTTGGCAGTGCTCCGTTCGGCGTTTCGGAGCCCATTCCGTCCTTCATGTCGCCACCCTGCAGCGTCATCAACTGCCGCTTCGTTGCCTCGTCGTAGACCCGCAGCAGCCGGTCCTTCCCGGCAGTGGCGAACTGGCTGCCGTCGCTGAAGTAATCCAAGCCTTGCCGATGAATTTAGAAGTCGGGGTGCAAGCAACAATCTATGTGTATAAATGTGTGCATGTATGTGCACTGTCATGTTTATATTATATATCTGTATATATATATACATATCTTATATTATATATGTTATGTGTATATATACCACAAATTATATATATATATATATACATATACGTGCCATTACATGTTATATACAGTATATATAATACGGCTCATCCGATCTCATAAGATCGAATTGTCGCAAATATCTGAAAATGCCCGAGGACTTGAACAGCTTTTCTGGGTGCCCAGGCAGAAGATCTGATTTCCTTTCTCGGTGATGCTGTGCAAGCACCTGGGCCCCGGGCTGAAATGTGGTGAAAGACATCACGTAAGCTTTCTGCCCGCTGTTCTGTTGGCTTTCCAGTAGCTTTTCCAATGAATTCTTAAGAAACATGATCGACATACTCTGGTCTGAAAATAGCAAAGCATGCAAAAAGGGCAGTGCCAAACATGCGGTGGTTCGAGTCTTCACTCCATTGACTGCCAACAAGCGAACCTGTCCACTAAGCAGGCCTGTCTGAGAAGCCGACTTTCCGGACTTAATGTGCCACTGCATGATTTGACCTTTCAGGCTCTACATCCCACGGTCTCATGAAACAAGATGAGTATATAATAAGTGTGATAGTGTATTTTGGGTTATTTTAAAGTAATCTAGACTAGAATATGTATAATTATATACATTATACAGCTGAAAAAAATGACCGGATTTGTGGAGGAACCAGACCAAAGGCCACAAAGGTGCTGAAGCCAACACAAACATCTTGGTCCAGGACCATCAAACTCGGCATTCACGGAGACCAAAACCTCAGGAGATCCAGAACATCACACCTCTTGATGTGTCTCTTTTAGTCCACGCGAATGTTTGAAACACCTGAAGTGGGGGGTTCCTTAGTCCACCAAGGTCATGACTTCATCACCTCTGAGTCTCCATTCTCTAGGAATCTTCCAAGAATGCTCCCCACATCATCCGTCTCTCCATTCAAGGTCAGCCTTTGTTTTCCAGGTCTGTTGAGAGTGGTGAGAACACCATGCCCCATGTTTCTCGAGTGAAAAAGGAGCGAGGTGTTTCCTTTGTCAAGGGTTATGAGCCCAAACTAGCGGCTCTTAGCTGCGCCATGGATCGAGCAAGATCACTCCCTCCGGTCAATCCTTTCTGGTCTGAAAGGGTGCAACAGGAGGTTTGGTTGCAACACCATAGACCCGAAGATCTCCCGGCGCCACATGATGATGGCGACCTCGAGGAAGGCGGGTTCACTGGTGGCACAGGGAAGGGTCGAGGCTTATCAACTGGAGGGCGGGTTTTTGCCACTCCACCCAGCCACCAGACGCCCGAAGGAAGAGGTGGGCAAGGCGCTGGAAAGAGATCGAAGGGCAGGATGTCGTCACCAAACATGGCCTGTTCCTGGTCCGTGCAAGTCTATGGGTCCTATGCCCCCTGAACATGTTCAAGCCAAGCCTAGGCGGGGTCCTGAGTCTGAAGGGAACCTGCAGCGAGCTCTGGAAGCGGAAATGGTCACTTTCCTTAGGGAGCAGAATGATCATCTGCGCCTGGAACTAGAGGAAATGAAGAAGAAGCTAGCGGGTGGGACTTCGTCGTCGGCGCCTTCGGCACCATCGTCGTGGGAGTTTCCGGATGGGATGGGCGCGCATCAACCGGGGGACGAAGAGATGGGCAGTCGGTTGCGGGCTGGAGGGGTTTCAGCTGATGACAAACGGCCCTCGTCGAAGAACCGAGTTGATGGTCCTCATACGCCACGGGGGAGAAGTCCTACAACCAGAAGGGTGCTTTCGGAGCGGCCAGCGGTTCGCTATACGCCCAACGGCGCTCAAGTTCCTGATGGGCAACCACCTGAATTGCCGGAAGTGCCGTTGCCACCTTTTCGACCTCCTACCTCATGCAACTCGGCTGAAATTAGTTTGCTTCAGGGGTATGAGACTTTGGATGAACTTCGCCGTCGACGAGGCGATCAACACTGGTCGCCACTTGGCGTGCGAGAAGGGAAGGCTTTCGAGCCGCAGAAGAATGGGTTCGCGCCTCGTGGCGATCGCGCAACTCGGCTTGAAAAAGAGGTGGAGGCACTGAGAATCTCCATGGAGCGGATGCAGGAAGCTTCGCAGGGTCCTGGACGCGTGGCTGCATGCTCTCAGGATGTCCATCCACCACCTCTTCAGGATTTGGGTACAGTAGGCCTACGGGGACATGACCTCCAAGAGCTGTTTGGTGATGGTGGTCATGGTGTGGGCTATGGTCATCGTGGGGGCTATGCTGGTGATAGCATGGGTGCTCCGGTTGATCATGAACGTGATAAGGTATGTCCCCCTGATCCTGACGGTGTACGTCACCCTTCAACCACCTACAGAGTGTTTGAGCCTGCAAGTGATTTCGTGGGTTCTGGCGGGGCTGTACCCGACTACAATCGGGACGGTGGCTATGGTCGCTGGCGGGATGAGGGTGGTCAACCCCCACTATGCCTCTACCCTGGAATGAAGGTTCTGGAAACAGCAAAGCTGAATTAGCAGAGCTCTCCGCGGACGCTTCACCTTTGGAGCTGGGAGATTGGTTGGCAGTGTGTGGTCCCGTATTGAGGGACATTTCGGCAGTCAGCGCCAGGTGGTGGAGCCTCACTACACGTGAAGCCCAGTGCTACTATGAACGCTGGAAGACGTCATCACCACTGGAGCGTGTTCAGATCTCGCCGCAGCTGCCGGATGAGTTGCTTGATGGCCGCTATCAGAGGACGGAACAGCGGGTGTTCATCTGCTCTTGCGGGCCATTCCAGCCGATCAACAACAAGCTTTGATCACAGCGCGTGAGCTCACCTCGACGGCACTGCTGTTCAGGTTGTTGGTCCGGTACCAACCAGGAGGATCTGGAGAGAAAGCAATACTCCTCTCCAAGTTGACCGCCACGGACAAAGCCACAGGGGTCACTGAGTTGGCAGCAGCTTTGAGGTTATGGAGGAGGCATTTTTCTCGGGCTCAGGAGATTGGTGCCATTCTACCTGACGGCGCGTCGCTGCTGAAGGCATTGGCTCAAATTGCCTCGATGGATGCCCAGGCCTCGTTCAGATTGGCACAGAGTCGACTCCAGCCATGGGGGTCGATCAGCAACCTCTTCACTCGCGCATTTGGCGGTTCAGTCAATGTTTGCTGGCGGAAGTGGAGACTCTGTCATTGATGAGCACTACTCCATCGTCTGTTCCCTCAACAATCAAGGTGAAGCAGATGGAGGCTCCAACAAAGTCAACGCCATCCCAGGGCATGCAAACTGGGGACAAAGGTAAGGGTGGTCCGATGGCATTCACGCCTTGCAAGTACTTCAGATCAGAAGCTGGGTTTGAAGCCGGCAAGGCTTGCAAATGGTCGCAGAGCTCTCAGTCAACTGGATCATGAAGTGAAGGGCGTGGTTTTGTTGGATTCGGGTGCCACGCACGCCCTCAGGCCAGCTCGTGATCAGCAGGAGTGGCAGGAAGCTCAGCCAACACAGGTGACCTTGGCGGACGGCATCACTGACAAGCTCCGCCTCAAGCAAGCGTCAAAGGTGCTCTTGTCGGCTCCATGTGATGATGAATGGGGTCAATCTTGGATCATCCCACTTGGCGGCATTGCGGAGTTGGGGTACAAGTTTGAGTGGAAGAATGCTCGATGATGAAGATGGGCGTGATCTTCCAGCGGTAGTGCACCACGGTTGTCCTATGGTTCCTTGTGAAGTGGGCCAGGCGATGATTGACAGGTTGGAAAAGCAACAGATCCGGCTTCTTCGAAAGGCCCAGATCTTGAAGTCCATGATGCTGGATCCATCTGTGGAGATGATTCAGTCCATTCAACAGTCCACGGAGATGGCTATGACATACAAGTTGAAAACTTTGTTCAAGGCTTTGCCGGATGGCGATCGTCTCCCTTGGAACAGGCGGAAGCGCCGCAGACTGGAGCGTGCCAAACAGATCGCGCTCCATTTGTTTTCTGGCCCAGACTCCAAGTATTGGGAGAAGGCCATCCAGCAAGGCAGTGTGGAAATGCTTTGCATCGATTTGCAAGCGGAGGTCTCCGCGGATTTGCATGATGACCACATCTACCGGTACCTGCTGTCGCTTGCAGCTTCCGGAAAAGTCAAGGCCATCATTGGTGGCCCGCCTTGCAGAACAGTGTCAGCTCTCCGGTATCAAGAAGATGGTGGACCTGGCATCCTCAGAACAGAAGAATATCCATATGGATTGCCGACCTGGGCTTTAGTCACGGGTGATCGTGTCTTGCTGTTCCGGACGCTGGCTCTGTACATGCTGCGCGAGGACGTCCGTCATGAACAAGAACCTCAAACGGCACTGGCTGTTGAGCAGCCGGAAGATCCAGCTCATTACCGTCCTGTCGCTGAAGTACAAGAGAAAGGTTTCATGTCGATTTGGCGGACTCAAGAGTGGCAAGCTTTTGCTGATGCGTATGACATCACGTTGCTCCACTTTGATCAAGGTCCTATGGGCCATGTGAAGCGGAAGCCTACAACATTGGCGGCGGAGCTTCGTGATGTTCAGGCCTTAGATGGAATTCGAGGGCCTCCCAGCGGAGTTGAAGCTGGAGATCAACAAGATCGCAACCGCATGTCAATGCAGGAGCGGTGTGACAACTCGAAAACATGGGCATCGTGGGCATCTGGTCTAAAAGGGGCACTAGTTCTTGCTCTACAAGAGCATCTTCACCGAGGGGCAACACCATCGCTGGCAGCTGCCATGCGACCCCTTGGTCAGGTGGCTTTAGAAGGGTGGCGAAACCACAACCTCAATGACCACATGCCGGCTCGTCGTGACTGCAAACACTGTGTCAGGACATCTGCTCAAAGCAGGCCTCATCGTCGAATCATCCACCCAGAAAGTTATACTCTGAGTGTGGACCTCTCCGGAAAGATGGTGGTGGGCCAAGATCAGAGCCGTCACGATTGCCGATACATGATGATCGCGGTCTACACCTTCCTGGCTGCATGGTGGACGGTTCGGGTCGCTCGAGGCGGTTGGCCTGGAGGAGATTGTGGGGGAGGCGGCGGAGATCAAAGGATGGCATGGCAGCAGGAGGTGGAAAAGGCACAGGACGTGACGGTCCGTAACCTCACGTTCGTGGAGGTCCTCCCTGGCAGTTCAGTTCAACACATTTTGCCAGCTTTGGCTCGCATCTATGCTCGGTTGAGAAGTCTTGGATTGCCGTTGTATAGGATCCATTGCGATCGAGCCCGTGAACTGATTTCTGCACCTGTTCGTCGATGGACGTTGGACAGGGGGATTGTCAATAGTTTGACCTCCACCGGTTTGGACAGCTGGCCGTTGGCGACCATTCACATTGGTGAAAGACGGCTTCGTGGCCAACTCAGGAGTCTCGGCACCCCTGTTGGACCTTTGCTCCAGTTTGGGGCTCGCGCTTTTGCCTTGAAGAAGTCTTGGCAAGATCGATATGAACCTTGGAGGGAGCTCCGGGACGAGTTGATCTTTCTGGGACCAGCTCTTCTGTCTTCACTGACCTCAACCTGCTATTACGTTCAATCCGTGGAGAGAAAACGATGCATCTACACCGATGACGTGGTGGTTCCACATCCAGATCAGCCTGAGGCGAGTGAAGTTTTGGTGCATCTGCCGGAGATTGAGGGCGGTGAGATGCCTTCACGACCTTTGTGGGATGGAAATGTTCCCCGGCGTCGACTTCGTGAAAAAACAGCAGTTCCTTCCATATCCATGTTGCACATGGAGGGGGAGATTAGCAGCCGTGTTCAAAATTGGCTGCGCACTCACCGTGACGCGTTTGATGCCCATGCGCCAAATGATGCTGAGCTGTTCAAGGCGGAATGGAGCAGTGATAGTTGGACAATCGAAACTCCATCAAAGACTTCATCCAGCGCTGGTGAAGTGGACTCCCAGGATGCCGGAAAAGAAGAGGTTCCAACCGGCCGAGGGGATGTGGAGGAGGCGCCTAATAGCCAGGACGGTGGCTCAAGCCTGGCAGCCTCGATTAAGAAAATGGCACCTGGGAGGTTTCCGTTCACCAAAGTCCAATTGCTCCGTTTTGCGCAGGCCAACTTGGCTGAGTATGTCAAGGAGGAGATGGGCCATTTGGACATCACCAACTTGGAACAGGGCTGGTACATGGTCCAACAAAGCCATCATAAGGAAGGTAGAGGTTGAAGAGCAGCTTCTCCAGAATCATCAAGAACAGGAAGCACTCAATGGCAAGGAGCTTGAAGAGGAGTTCCTGGTCACCAAGACCATCAGAAACCGAGAGGTCATGGATGACTTTGAAAACTGGGCGCCAGCAATCACAGCAGGGCACGGGCAGTTGGTCACCACAAAGCAGGCGGTGGAGCAGATCACCAAGGAAGCTTTGAGGGTTCGGGCAGCTAAGGAAGGGAAGACAATAGAATTGCTCCCAGCAAAGATGGTGTACACCCGAAAAGCGGGGACAGGCGCTCGAAGGGCTCGGGCTGTGTGCTGCGGCAATTACTCAGAGACCAGGTTCGACGAGGATTGCTATGCTGGAGGTGCTGACGGATGTCAGGCGAGGGCGTTGGTGAGGACCGCGGCTCTCAAGGGGTGGAGAATAGCAGCCACTGACATCCGGGTTGCTTTCCTGAACGCCCCTCGCCGTGAAGATGGCAAATTGGTTGCAATGGAGATCCCGGCAGTGTATCGCCGTTTAGGCTTAGCCAAGGAGGGCGAAGTTTGGCTGGTGCGTTTGGCTATGTACGGCCTTACTACATCCCCCAGAGACTGGTCACAATACAGGGATCGCACCTTGCCGGTTGTCAGTTGGGTCCGGGTGAGAATGGAAAACAATCAGGCCAAGAGAGTCAGAGGCCATTTCATCAAGACGGAGGATGAGAACCTGTGGAGGATTGAGGAGGTCGACATTGAGTCTGGTGTGACGCACTGGACTGGGTTGATGTCCGTCTATGTGGGCGACATCTTAGTTTCGGGTGAAGAAGCCACGGTGTCAGTCGCCATAAGTTCTCTGCAGACAACATGGACCACGTCAAACATTGAATGGGCTTCACCCACCTCAGCGGTTCACTTCTGCGGTTTTGAGATTGCCCCAGATGCTGGGGGAGATGGGTTTCACATTGCCCAGAACAAGTATGAGCAGGAGATCCTGTCGCGATGGAATGTCAGTGCTTCAGCAGCATTCCCAAACTTCAAGATCAGCGAGGGTGACAGTGAACAACAACCCGATGTGGACCGAAATCAGGTCCGTGAGGCACAGGCCTTAGCCGGCTCCTTACTTTGGCTATCGACGCGTTCAAGGCCAGATCTGGCTTTTGGGGTTGCGGCTATCAGCCGACTTGTCACCCGGAATCCAGCCAAGGCGATTGAGATCGGGCATGGACTCCTGGCCTATGTCAAGGGCAATCCAGGCGGTTTGCACTACCCCAAGGACATCAAGAACAAGTGGGGTGCCAGAGATCAGTTGAAAGCGCAAAGACATGATCGTTTGCTGGAGGTGTTCGCGGACATCGCGTACGGCACTGGCACCGGCTACAAGAGCGTTCAGGGCTTGGTGCTATGTTTCGCGGGAGCCCCCATTGCATGGCAGAGTTCCACGCAACCTTTCGTACGCCACAGCACGGCAGAAGCTGAACTGGTGTCGTACTGCGAAGCTCTGACCGCAGGAAGAGCCACTGAGGCTTTACTATGTGCTATGTGGGGGGAGCCACTGGCAGCCAACTCCTTTGAGCGGGTGATCTATGGGGACAACGCTGCAGCAATCGGGCTTGCTCATGGAAACAGCAACCCCTCATGGCGGACGAGGCATTTGAGAGTCCGCTCGAACATACTTCGAGAAGCCCTTGAAGAACAGAACTCTTACCCTGGTGGTCCATGGAAGCTAAACCATCTCAAGGGGACAGAGTTGGTGGCGGACGGCCTGACAAAGCCGTTGATGGGGCAAAGTTTTGAAGGCTTTCAGCGAGATCTGGGCTTGAAGAGTGGGGTCCAGGTCTAGAAGATGGATGGCGGCAGTTCGACGCCTCAGACACAAGATCCTCAAATTGCTCTCCGTACTTTGGTGGTGGGTAGTCTTCTGGTGAGAGTTGCTGAGGCACAAGGAGATCAAGAGATGGACGAAGCCTTTGGTCGTATTTGGCTGTGTGGCTTGGTGCTGGTGGTAATTGGGGCAATATGAGTGCGAAAATGTTGTGTACCTCGGCGCACTGCTGTCTCCGCCGATTGCATGTGCTGCCTAGGGGCGGAGGAGAAAGTTTTGACTACTTCCTTGTGTTTGAAGCGGCGGAGAACGAGGAGCTCTACTACAAGAAGGGAGGAGGCTGAAGATGATCGTAGCAGCTGTAGCTCGGTATCGGATGAAGAAACCGAGAGTCAATCCTCCAGTGAAAATGAGGAGGAATGGCCCGTGAAGAAGAAGAAACTATGAGACGTGAGCTCATGTTTACTTGAAGAAGAAACTATGAGACGGCGGAGACCTACGGCACGTCCAGTGGGGAAGAAGGAAAGCTGCGAGAGCTCAAGTTCACTGCGGCTGAGAACGCCGAGATGGCGGCACAAGCGGCCGGACAAGCGGCTGAAGGAGCCATGGTAGCAGGGCGAGCTGCTGAGCAGGCGATTGCAGTATCCACACGACTGCACCAGGTGATCTCGCGGCCTTCGCACTCAAAGGCCTTTGTGGGTTCATCGTCAACATCCCACAGAGGAAGCCAGAAAAGAGAGCCATCCCCTGCAAATCCATGGAACAAGTTCCAGCGAAACAACGCCGGACGTGGCTGGTCTATGGAGACTATGCGGGCTGAGTACTACAAGCTCAAGGGCCAAAAGGGCCGAAAGTAGAGAAATGCCTTGAGCCTACTTTTCCCGTTTAGATCTGTCCGAACGACAGATGGGGGAGTCTGTTGAGAGTGGTGAGAACACCATGACCCATGTCATACCACAGGCATTTGTTTCTCGAGTGAAAAAGGAGCGAGGTGTTTCCTTTGTCAAGCCAGGAAAATGGCTCGGGGGTCCGTCAGCGGCTTGGGGGTCAGGCAATCATTTTGGGGACGAATTCTCCATCCACCTTGGTGTCCGGGCGCTCTGTGTCTTCGAGGCGGCACCATGTGGACGCCAACGCAGCTGGGTGGTGGGCAGCGGTGTGGCCGAGAGTTCCAGGCTCGGCGGGGAGCCGTTCAAGAGGAACTCCTGGCGTCCTGCAGGAGTTTCCGTCAAGGTTTCCATCAAGAACGGCACATGTTCCGTTGCGATCTGTTCAATGTCGGAAGTGGCACGTATCATGGCGTACGTGCTTCACTATTTGCTGACCCAACATGATTCGTGACACATCCTTTCCCCTCCCGTCCTGTGTCTGCACTGTACACGTGGATGGCACCATTTGCAAAGGATGTGGCCAAGTACTGGTCGTCCGGAGAGAATCGAACGCAGAAGCAGTCTGCAACTGGAGCGTAGCCAGGGTTCACAGTGTATTTCGACCTGGCATATGACACTACAAGGCAGAGTCAACAGGAGAATCTCAAGACTTGTCCCATGCAACAGACCAACCCTCTACGCGTAGTCTTGAGTACAGGGCGAGGGTTCCTGCTCACCTGAGATGATGTGGATCTGAATGTCCATCTGCACATCAACCTTTGCGTGGCATACTTCATGGCCTTTTTAGCTTGATCCCGCAAAGTCCAAAAGCCCGGTCTAATTCCTGTGCCTGATGCGCTTCGTCCCAGTGCCAATGCTGGTCACCTCCTCGCGGCCGGCCAAGGGAGTTGACTGACCGGCCAAACCCTTGGACCAGGGATGAAAGACTCATGATAGAGCTTGCCCGATGGTGAGACACGACCTCAGCTTGTCATGTCAAAAATGTTCACCAAAGCCAAGCATTGAAACAAGGGTCGTTACCGTGCACCTGTATTTGTCACAGAAAGCAAACCACCAGTGAAACAGAAGCTGACGGATGGTGATCATCAGTCATGTGTTGACACCACTTCAGCCTATCCTTTTGCTCCCAAGGTCCACGATCATCTAAGACCCATAGGCCCACCGCCTGACACGCACGTGGTGTGGACACCGGGAAGACCCGAGATGGTCAGCACTGCTACGGCTCCTCAGCGCCTTCAATGGCCATCGCACCACCACTGTACCCCCCGGCCATGTTGGGCTGAGTAGCGCGGCTACTCCAAAGTTGCCGTTCCGACTGAGCCAAAGATGGAGCTGCAGAACAAGGACCTTCACACTTCCCCGCTTGACTCAACATTTGTGTTAAAAGGGTTTCCTGGTGGTGCACTGGCACACAAATGCAAGCACAGCACCCATTCAGATGAGCGGCTCTTGCAGATCTTGCTGCTCTTAGATTTCGCCCAAAGATTCAAAGGTCGGGACAGGACGAAGGCTTTGGTCCCCTAGTAGCTACTTGCTCCTGGACTCCTAGTAGTAAGGCCAGGAGCCCAGCGTCCTTGCTCCTAGTAGCGATGCCAGGAGCCCCTAGTAGCTTCTTGTTCTCCCTTCCCACCCCAGGTCCGGCCGAGCCACCCGAGGGGAGCGCCGCGGCGAGAGGTCCGGGCGCGTCCTGGACGAGGTTTGGACCAGTCGGTCGTACCGTCGGGAAGACTTGGCATGTTCCAAATTCACGAAAAGCAAACAGTCAATACCTTTGGTAGGTGGCAAGAGGACATCTCTATGGATTCCGTCATACTACCGTCCTTTTTTTCGTGTGGTGGGATGCTACGCAGTCATAAGCTTTGGAGTGGCTCACGTCATTCTCGCTGGTTCAAGGAGAAATTCTAGTACGTTTGGAACGAAAGCCCTTTGATCCATGAAATCCCCAACTAGCGGGACGAAAACTCTTCAGCCCCGTGGCCCTGTGCTTTCACCTCCAAATCAGTCAGCCTTCTCACTGCACCAGTTTGCTTTCTGCGGCCAAGAAAAGGACTGGACCATTTCACTCTCAGATCAATCTTTCAGCTTTCTTCCATAAGCCGTTGCTGTGGCCATTGTTAGGACGGCAATGACGCAAACAGCTAGATGCATCAAACCAGCCATGACTGCTACTCTCGTGCTCTCGTACCAAATTTCAGCAAGGAGTTGTGATGGATGTTCTACTAAGGTCACAAGCTGTGGAGTCGCCACCTGGGTCTGGATGTTGTAGACTGATGAAGCTTGCATTGTAGCCCTGAAAAAGGTATCATCCATGCGCTCTGCAAGGACAGCTGCTTTTTGTGGCTGTGGCCCACATTTAAAACTTCCCCTTCTCTCACAACAACCTTTCCCAATGGCCCAGAATCTCACACTGGCTGCTTCCCCAGCAACATTGATCGGAGCCACACAGTAAGTGGTGCCCCTCGCCAGATACCCCAGTGAACGTGACTCGTCCAGCGCGGTGCCCTCCGGAAACCTGAGGAACGAGTCGAGCGGAACCTTCTCATCAGATGCCTGAATCATCTTGTAGTTGGATGCCCGATAAAGTTGCCAGAACCTTTGTAGATATTCAGCTTCCAGCCAAGTCCCTGCAGCCGCACCCAGTACAATGGAAGCAAGAGTCAAGAAACCCAAAGACATCACCACTGCATCCCTCACCTGAAAGCCAGTGAGGACAGCGCATACTCCAAGAAGGGTAAAAATGATCTGCAATATCCAAACAATGACTGCGTGATCGTGATAAAGACAAATAAAAATCGCCAAGCTCAGTGCGAAAGCTGTCCATGGAATCAAGATTGACGTCACCATGTCGCACAATGACATTCTTGTCTCCACAGGAAACGTGGCTGGGTCATCCCAGAACTTCTGCGGTTCAATTTCATCAGAGCTGATGTCAGCCAACTCTTGAGTTGGAACACCAACAAATGCACCCGAAGGCACGGAAGGAACACCTTCAGCCCCTTGCCACTTGCTATCATAAATCATCCGGAAATGGACATGCTGATCATGTGGAAATGCAATCTATTGGTGATATTCTATCTATGTGCCTAGTGGCCTAGTGTGTTCTGTTCATGCTTGGAAAGCTACACTTACATACACCTACGACCATGGAACAGCATTCTGCGGCTGCTTTAACAAGCATGTTCACTGGAGCCGTTTGGGTGAGGTGAATCCAAGGAGCCCAAGACAGAAGTTGCCTACAGTGATCCGTTTTTCCAGTTATTGAGTTATTGAACGTATGCGAATGACGCCTAATTTGATCCGAGACTTGCAACATTGCCATCGAGCCAATAGGATTGCAAGGTGACATGGTCAAAGACAAACTAGGGAACATTCTTGTTTCTAGTAGTAAGAATGCTCCTAGTAGCGATGCCAGGAGCCCCTAGTAGCGATGCCCTTGCTCCTAGTAGCTTCTTGTGCTTGTGTCAAGCAAAGTTCTTCTCAATGTTCAAGGTGTCTTCTCTGGTCCACCCACTAGGACCGCATCAGGGGGCCTTGGAACACCTACAGTAACACCCTTTGCAATTGCAAACGACGCTTTTGGGAATGTCCATATCCAACCTGCTGATGCTGCAATCCATCTCCACTGCCAGCGCGCCAGGTGTCAACTGGCAAGTGCCCGCAAAATAGGTAATCAAGGCCCCTTTACACTTACACGACCAGGTCCCCATTTCCATCTTTCACTACTCTCCCTCCAGGATGTCTACGAAGGGGGCATTCCAACACTTGCTTGACAGAAAATGATCGGAACTAATGATCAGCCTGAATCGAGCCAATGATCGGTCCCCATTGATCCACAAACGCACTCGATCCCAGCCGCCTCCTTTGGAGGCGCTTTGTAGATCCACCTGACACCATCACCGCCCGTGCCAATTCATCTGCTACACCGAGGGACACACGACGCATGTCTTGTCCCTGTTCCATCTGTTTCGTCTCATCTCAACATGCCGATTCCACGGTGACCAGTCGATAGCACTTTCCACCTGGGAAAACAGAGTAGGATCACAATCGTTTGACACATCGAAGAACAAGAAACACGTCTCTGAAATTGTAGGAAGCTGTCAAGGCGCTTCGTCCATGTAAAAAAAAGGCTTTGGGGGTGTCTTTGACATTTGAGACCGCCCACATGGCCCTTGAGTCAATTGCTTCAGGCTTCAAAACGGCGAGCTTGAACAGGGAACACATCTGTCTTTACATGTCTTCACGCTGGTTCACTGGAACTTCAATTAAAAAAAGAGAAGACCAAACCATATTTGTCTGGTCTGATGCCCCTGCTGGAAGATCTTCTGCAGCTGAGCTGGAAGAGCCTGGAGGAGTTGTCTCTCACCACTCACCACTCCGAGAGACCACGATGGTCGACAAGAAGTCAACACAAAGTGCGTTTGTTTGAAACCAGCGCCTTGTGTCATCCGGAAAAAGAAAGCTAGAAACATCCTGCGATATCGGCGATTGCAAAAAAAACTTTGGAATTGGAGTCCCAATCTCGACCTTCCCACTGTTTGCAGGGAGAAGACAGAAACTTAGTCCATGGTGGCAAATTTGGAGGTGTTTGGCACAATTTGGGTTGCATTGATGCCACACGTCGTCTGCTCGCCTGAGGGATTCTCCTCTGTTGGGGCTTCTGTCTCCTCGCGGTCCTGTGAGAGTCCTGATCCCGGTGTTGCTGAGATCTGCTGGCAAGCGAAGTCATGATGGAATGTGTTTCCGGTGCTTTATGAACTGTATTGACATATTACATCATGTGCTTTGCATGTTGCCAAAGACCAAACTCAGAAATGAATGTGACTCAGTCTTGAAGCAGGTCTCAAGAATCCTCATCTGGCTCCATCTCCACGTACCCTTTGCTGTGGAGATTAGGCTCTAATCAGAGAAACCAGATTCTAACCATTCTCAAAACTGTGCCCCTCAGGCCCCCAACTTAAGAGCTCTGGCGTCTCTTCCTACCCAGTGGCCGGTCAAAGCTGTCACTATCAGCGATAGTCAATCTGTTGCTTTCCATCCCCTACACATCGGAATGAATCTCGAGTTGCACAAAAGCTCACGTCAGGAACATCTGAACCAATCACCTAAGATCCCATTCAAGCAATGCCTTCTCCTCCAAGATCCCTTTTACCCGCAAGCCACACCTGAAGGCAGTTCGCACCAAACCCCGCTAAAAGAAGATCTTGATCATGCATCATCAATTTCCTGAAAGAGAGACGAACTATCCTCCAATCCATCGACATGATCGGGCCTACTCTACGGCTTTGTTCATCATGCTCATCAAACCCACTGTCGCATCCACTTGGTGCCCTGGCACCACCTCGCAGCTGCTGCCACGAACCTGTGAACGCTACTTGGCTGACGTTGGTGGTTTCGCACCGGCATACTTTGGAGCATGACCAAATCGACTTTCAGATCTGGAATTTGCCGTAACGGGCCGTAAAGGTTGTCTCAACTGTAGTGACTTTGCTGTGTCAAGGAATTTCTTCAACATGTTGCATACATTCGCCGCTTGCTTTTGGGACAGGTGGATGAACTTCCTCAACTGGTCCAACCACCAAGTCTAAGCTCACCCCATTGAGAAACGGTGCTCTGCCCCCACCTGCAGTAGCAATCGTGGAAGGATCACCTGACAGCGAGATTCCATGCCTCATGCACGTACCAATGAAAGCAAGACACTCCTCAAACTGGGGTTCGATCAACTTTAGCTTTTGACTTGGCTGTGTATCATAACTTACAACCTCCTAACTCTGTGGTCGAGACTTCCAAATACGCCCAACCCCTCAAACCCAAAAGGAGCGACAGTGGTAACCTGGTAGCCTTTGGGCTGCAGAATTTTGAACTGTCTCTGAACAAGTGTTAGATGCACAGTCACTATGATGCGATGTTTGATACAGCCAAAGGGTCTGTCCAGCATGCTTGCTCCCTCTGTCAAGTCAAGGGGTGGCCCTACCTGCCACGAGACAATGTTCGGAGTGCAAATCGTCAAGCAAAACTGAAGTCCTAAAGCCATAGCCTCATGGCCCAAATCCCTGGCCTCCAGCTCCACGCCCGCGTTTGTACAACCTGACCCGCGGGATGTTGATTTGGTCAGTCCAGGTTCGGGTTTAGGTACAATGTGATGTTCAAAGTCTCAATGTGATGCTTTCACCTTTCCATGCCTTTCCTTCACTCCCTGCAAGAGAAACGATGCGATGCACAAACTTCACATCCAGCCTTGTGCTGTGAAATTCGTCAACAGCTGGTAGATCTCAGTGGTTGAATGCATAGTTTCGTATCAAGGATCTTGTCATCATCAAGCAGGATTCTCTTCGAAAGATGCAAGGCATGCTCGGGTCCAACAATCAGACCATCACGAACCGTCGTGTCAACGTGGGTGTCAACGACCTTGTCAACCAGGTCAGGAAGAGTCCCTGAGCTCACCGACCGAGTTACTGAGGGCAGTGGCGCCCAGCTTCTGCCCGACACAGGCACGGCCTGCGGACTCATATCCATCCCGAGCCGAATGGGACGGCGTGTTCGGCTCAAAGAGGTGGGTAGAAGGGCAGTCTGTTTACAGGTGTTTCGGTTGACAAAGCTGGATGTCGGGCTGCCGAGCGGCTGAAATTGCCCAGGTGTTGATGTGAGGAAGCGCTTACCAAGCGGAGGAAGTGAGGGTCATGAAGTGCTGAAAATGATAAAGTCCAATCCTTCTTGAGGTGCTTCCCCTGAATCTGCAGTAACCAACTTTTGACACGCTTCTTGAAACCAACGAGTGCCCGGACGCCATTGACCCTCACATGGTCTGGCCTAGGTAGCTGACAAGCAAATTCCAAAATCCCGGTTTCAAGCGTTGCAAAGTCCACATCCTCCCCCTTTCGAAGGATCGGAGCAGCTGTGTAAACATGGTATAAACAGCTCCCCACCGTTGAGCGACTCAATGAAGGCAACGACTGGTCCACGCTCCACACTCAACGTGTTGACACATCGATCGGCCTGTTCTTTTTGCCGAATCTGAGACGCCACAATGACGGTAAAACGACACGGCACAAGGCTGAAAACGGCCTTTAGGTTGAATACGCCCGCTTGTTGCTGGTCCAGGGACCCAAAGGTCCAAAGGAACTCAACTCACGTGTCACATCAAAAGTCAATCCGTGGACCACTGCTGGAGGCATCAGCTTGCGGTTCTTGTTGAACCAATCACAACCCTTACAAGCAGGCTTGATAATCCACTGGATCAGAAAGAGACCAGGGACATTCTATTTCAAAAGTTGAGACATGGCAGCTCTATCAGCTGTGACATCTCTGGTTGACTCTACTCTACTTTCTGCTTGATCAAGGCTTAGGTACTCCGGTCTAGGTCGCAATCACGAGAGCCAGTATGGTAGACCACGAAGAGTGCTAGCTAGAAATGGCCAGGCAACACACTTGTGAACAGTAATCCCCAGAGGCCCCAGAGGCGAGAAATGTATTAACTGTTATCCAAGCCGCCATCCCTTTCAGCCCGACCAAATCCAAAGACCTGACTGAGCCAAGCATCCAAGCCTTTCAGCGATTTTCTACTGAGCCTATTTGCAGGCTTCTTCGTGGTGCCACTGTTTTGGACAGGGGCCACTGCTTTTCATATTCTCAGCAAAGAAATTATCTTTCACTTCCTCACACCTGTCACTTCACCTAAACGAAAGAAACATGTTTTAACTTTAGATCACCAGGTGCCCCCCAAAATGTTCGGGACTCTTTAAACGCATGTGCACATCCGCTGGGGACAGCTCCACAGACATCTTTGACGTCTGTTGGAGGACGACTATGTCAGGCGATGGAAAAAGAGCGAACGCCACGACTCTCCCCACAACTCTGACTCTAACGATGCACGGGATTCGACCTTGAGCGCCGGTCTGAAGGAAAGGTATACAACAACATGAACAGCAACCACAACATATCTGCATGCGGAAATGGTGCTGCAAGCAACTTGACTTGGTGGTGGTGGTGGTGGTGGTGGTGGTGGTGGAGGTGGTCTTGGTCGTGGTCGTGGTCGTGGTCGTGGTCGTGGTCGCGGTCGTGGTCGTGGTCGTGGTCGTCGTCGTCGTCGTCGTCGTCGTAGCCATGCAGTTGTACTTGTACCCATGAGCAGGTCGTTCTCAGTCTGTATTTAGTGCTTCCAGTTAGGAAGAACAAATAAACGGGAAGAATCAAGGGTTGATTCACCGTCTTGCAACTCTATCCTGGAGCGCCCTTGAGTGTATGATTCTATGCTTCGCGGCAGAATCCGCTTGGCAGGCGACCTTGTGAAGTCGCCGCCGAACCGTCCGACTTTCAAACACTTTGGATAGGGAAGTGAAGGGCGGCGGCATGCCCATCCGTTCACCATCCTGAAACTGACCCAATAAATCCATGAATCCCTATATATGGTATTGGGTCTGGAATACCCTGGAAAATAAGGCAAAGCTTTCCACGGGGCTCAGAAGCGCATTGAATCATGATAAGACAGCATAAACATGCATAAACAGTTTATGATAAACTCTATACAAATGCACAGGAGTACTTTTCTGTTGTTGACATCATCCTTTTCTCGAGAAAAGACATGGTCTTGGCACTCTAGCCCTCTCAACATGCTCGCGTGCTCACAAGTAACACAAGGTGTGTCCTCGAACCCTCTCAACAGCTCCAGAGGTGCCTTCTTGGTCCCCAAATTCATGGAATTTCATGACTAGACATCCCAAAGGACATCAAAGTTTGCATCACTGGACAAAAATGTTCCTGCAGAAGTGGCCGTCGAGCGTTGTCGGAACTGTCTGTCTTGAATGCATAGTTTGCCACCTGTCTCATTCTTACGGTTGGTGACTGGTGCATTCTACAGTAATGGAGTTGAGTTTGTCCTTCCATGCTTTGCCAATCCGAGCACTTACCAGTACAGTACCTGTAAACGCGTTCCCAATCAATTGACATCATGTCGCCAGTTCCAAGAGAAACCTCGGTCCTCTCAAACTCCGTCGTGGCTATTGCGACGACTCCGGCTCTCTCTTCGGCCTGCAGACCAAACCATGAAGAATAGCCTGCCCTTCAGAGTAGCTCATTGCATGTGACAGAAAGAGAAAATGTTTCTCTGATATTGTGGTGGGGAAGCGCTCCGGCAATGCATGGTGGTCGCATCATACATCTATCGTACGCATGTTGAACCACCACGCATAGATCATGTGATAACCAAACAAATGTTCTTGCTAAGTTAAGTTAACAAAACAACCAAAGACTTTAAAAGCAAAGTCGACGACTATGCACAATCACAAACTTGCAAACAAGAGCAACAAAAAAGAAAGACTCATGAAGCAAAAACAAACAGCGCGCCAGCGCAGGTGCTCATGTTTTGAATCAGAGGTGCCTAGAATTGGCAAAAAATACTGTATACCACTAGGAATCTGATCATTGTTTGGTTTTGTCTTGAAATCCAACTGTTTTCATACAAAGTGTCCCTAAGTCCCTAAGTGCATTGGTGGACACAAAGTTTGTTGATCGGGGGTTCTGGACACGAAATTACGTATTGCCATACCGACAATAACCAAACCCCCAAGGTGGGTCGAGCGATCACATCACGCCTTTTAAGGACGCCGCCCTTGACACAGTAGGGGACATCACTGGATCTCCTGACAGTGAAACTGTCGGTGCTTGCTCGTTGTTATTTCAATGCACCATCGGCCCTGTTTGGATTTCCTTGATTGGTTTCAGGTGATGAACATTGACCATTGACCAAAAAACTATTTGAATGCGCAGAATGACTGTTTCGCCTGACTTCCCCCATGGTGATGCACTTCCCACTGATTTTGGTGACCATGGTGATGAGCCTGCTGCGGAGCCTGCAGCAAGGTGGCTCAATTCCGACGACAACCACACGCTCTGACACAACCGCATATCTTCCACACTATGGTTATGGCCCGTAGGAAGGTGCACTAAACAACCTACGAGTAGAATCCGAATTCAGAATGAGGGAAGGGGTCTTGCTTTGCGCCTTGGCTTTGCAGGACTCGGGTTGGTTCTTCACAGAACGGCTACACGGTAAGCTTTCCACTTCATAGGAGTCTATTGCGTTTCGCTTCGTTGACTACTACAATAAGCCCAAAACAACACCCAACAGCTGGGCACGAATCTGCCTTTTAAGCAGTGGCCACGTCGCAACAACTCTTGAACAAGTGTTGCGTCTTTGCCAAACACTGCTGTTTTCGAAAAACGTGAACCACTTTGATGCTAGCACGACACACGGTAATATTATGTCGGCATAGCAAATGTGACCACATATGTGAAAGCACGACAACGCCGCAAGAAGCAAAAACCAGGGAACCTGTTCTGGAGCCCCCTGCGGAGCCTGCCAGCAAGTCAACACATCAGCATAGCCCGACTTCAGCATATCAGCGTGACAGCGTGTCAGCATACATGACACCATGTCAGCCTGGCAACACCTCAGCGCGTCATTGCTCCGAACTTGCTCCGGAACTTCCACCAGAACTTGCTCCTGAAGCTCAGGAACCTCCTCCAGAACCTGCTCCGGAACTTGCTCCGGAACCTGCTCCCAAACTCGCTCCGGAACTTGCTCACGAACCTGCTGCTCTGGAACTTGCCCCTGCTCCAGAACCTGCTCCGAAATCTTTACTATGGCTGGAGACCCTAAGCTTCGCCGTTGGGGAAGAATCACATGAGACCTGAACAAATGAAGCTTGGTTGCTTTCTATCTAATCAACGCTATGAACCTGATGGCAATAAACCTGGGTTCATTTCCGGTAACGACCCTCATCCCACGCCTGCCGCTGAGCCCAGGGAGCCCCGTGACCCTGCAACGGAGGACACATACTGCCTTTATTCAGGAAAAGCGTGTGATTCTGTGCTAAGAGGCATTCCCAGTTTAACTATATAAGCCTTTGTTCTGGTGTTCTGGATATGTTGGGCATGGCTCAGACTGACTCAAAGCTGCCTCGGCGGCTGCGCGACTTTGGTGAGTCAGGCGGGGACATGGAGGCCATGCGCACCTTTCGGTTCTCCATACCTTAGCTGCGTTAGTGCACAGGGCACCAAGAATAGGAATGTGGCATGCTGGCCTCATGCAACATACCATGAGAGCAAGATTTGAACACAAATAGAAAAGAACAAGGAAAGGGAAAAAAGGTTGCGAAGCAGTACTACAGTAGATCTACGGTAGTACTCAGAGTTCGGAACATCCAATTGCCTGAGGCCCCTGCAGGCTTGTTGTTGTAGCTCTGCACGTGAGAGGTCCCTGTAAAAGCCTCGATCATTGAGCTCGATCTCCTTCCTGAGAGCAGGACTCATCCAGAGCTGCATCCCTTCGCTGCCACATCCAGTGTTTGCTGGGTTTACTTGGTAGATTGTCAGCAGCAGACTGCGGAGAGGGCGTGAAAATGCAACCCTCGTCCTCACTCTTACCTTTTTCATAAATGAGCATTGAAAGTTTGGCCACCAGAATCAGGTTTGGCCACCCACCTCTCCTCAGCATGTGATCCACTTGGACATCCGCAAAATGGGATACGTCAGGTGCTTGTCCTGGCCATCCCTCTCTCTAAGGCTTGGTGTCCGAAGTGGGAGAAATTGCTGAGTTTTGGAGTTTGTGGAAATGATCAGCCTGAACACATGTGCACATGATCTTGAAACCAAAGAATTGCAGCTCTGGCTGAGTTTGCAGTCGACGTGCTTCCTCACAATCATATGAGTTTGTAGGTACGGAGAACGTCCAGCGCCATCGATGAATCTATGAGTTCTCATGGGGGCTGGGGATGGTCCAACAACCGTCATGAAAAGCGAAACTCATGTTGCTTCCAACACGACGCTGACTGAATCAAAGACAAGTTCAATGTCTCGCAGCTAGAATTCAAACCATAATTCTGTTTGGCTGCCTGTAATCGACGAGAAACAATCAAACCATCCAAAAGGAATCGCAACGAATCATGTAACTTCCACTGCTTTGCACATGTCTCGAAGGACTTTGCGGTAAATGGATGGTTTCTTGAAAAGAATGACACAGTTTTGAAAGTCTGGATTTGGATTCTCTGTCAACTGTGGAGCACTGGTTGTTCTCCTGGATGTCTGGAGTTGACATCGTTTTTGCTGAAGATGCGCATGGTCTGATCCTTGGGAATCAAAAGTGATACGAGCCTGCGCATTAGGCACCAACTGTTGCTATAAACATGCACACCAACTGCAACAAATAGATTCCTTTCAGGCACCGGGCAACACCTTTTGCGGCGTTCACTGCTCCAAAAGAAGCTAAGTCTCATAGAAGTCTTGCTTCGCCTCAGTGGTTTTCACCGAAACCCTCCGGTTTCACACGGACCCTGGGACGGAGCTGGAATGGTTCTGGATCCGAAAGGGGTCACAAGACGAACTGATGATGGACCGGGACCCACAGGACTTGGTACAAGGCATTGCGCTGCTTGTACCAAGGAGACCAAGGAGAATGAACACCCAGAGAATTCTCTCCATCACTCTTTGGGTCTGCGGTGGTCTGGTCCTGGTCCTGTGTCTGCTGTGTCTCCAAGGAGCTCCACGAAGGCGTGTGGATTCGGGATCATGATGCTTCAGCGCTGGGGATGCCACCATGACCGCCTGCGATGTGATTTTCGCCACTGTGAGAGCTTGATCATGTGCTTATTTGTAGAAAATGCATGAGCTCCTTACTTTGACCGGTTCTGGAGGATGGGATTTGTGTTTGTATAGATCATCTGATGAACCTCTTAACAACACAAGACGGTAAAGTGAATGCCAACTCCTTCAGCCTTCTTAGCAGGAAAGCTTTCAGCTTCCTTCCATCATCCCAGGAAGTCTAGTCTCACATGGTCTTGGATCTATATAACTGAAACCAAACAGGTTTTTGGTATCGGCCCTTAGTATCCCCAACGACTGGAATCACAGAAGCTGACCAGCAACCAAAACTGTCTCGTTTGAGATCTGACCTCATGTACAACTCTCAATTATGACCGAGACACAGCATCATCTTTCGCGCTAGCAGCAGATCCCATTGCAGCAAATGCCGAGACACAGCAAATGTGGAAACGAGAAGACTCCTTTTCAGAGAAAATATATCTAACTTGCATATTGAGTAGAACCCATGGTTTAAACATGTTGTCAGCTTCATTAAGACCGGCATGCAATCCGCATATATGTGTGCGCAAATGCTCTACGGAACCTTTTCACTGCCTTTTCTGCAAGGCAGTCAAGAATAACAGCATTTGTGAGTTTAGCCAGCCATAACGCTGCAAAGAACATCATCTCAACTCATGCGCAGCTCGGCCAGCATTTTCACAGGAAGAATTGATCCTTTATGGGTTCTTATGGAACAACCCTATTTTCCTGGCCAGCAACTGCTTGAATCCTTGCAACGTGCAAACACGCCAAGATGCACCATCTTAGATGCAGACGCAAAGCAATGCTGAGCTGGGTTCCTGCGGAGCATGCAGAACCACCGGTAGTTCCTCAAAACATATTTAGGCAAAGGGTGTGAGCATGATGATCGGAACATGTGTGTGGCCAACATGTTCAACTGCAAAGTACAAATCATGCACATGAGGAGAACCGGATCACTCCCGACAGTGTACTTTCTCGATCTTGTGCTGCACGGAATCCAACTAAATCTTGGGTTGCCCTTTGCGTTTCAGTTCATGGTCCATCCCCTTGTTAATTTTTTTGGGCCTCGCCGGCTCAAGAAGCGGTCACGGACTACTCAACAATTGTTGGGCCCAAATCGTTTGTGCAACGCAACGGACTGTCCTTCCCGAGCTGCAATGGCAACGGACTCAGCAGGATCACAGGCAGCATCGATCGATCCTGGACACGATTCGGCACAAAAACGAAGTGAAACGACAAGCGAGTCATGACATGAGCAACTTAACAAGACTAGCAGGCGTGACTGGCATATTACTTTGAGAACAATGATTCCTATGGTCACTCAAAATCCGGCCGCATTGAAGACTGAAGGCGTTAGGGCTCTTGGGCGCCCTTTTTTCCTTTTGAGAATGGAATTGCATATCCGGCATCATGAGGTGTGCGCAGTAGTGATGGGAGAAATGCAAAAAACATTAAATGCAAGGTTTTCCAGCATTGGATTTTTTCCAGCATTGGATTTTGGTGTGCCATATGATCTGGGAGTGCAGTGTACTTTCAGTGAGAAATCACTTGGACGGAGTCGTTTTTTTGTTTTTTCAGGTATCTGGTGATGCAAATGATGCAATCTTGAGGCAGAAAGTGATACATTTATGATTTGCATGATTTATATCAAAATATGAAATAAGCATGATCGAGATGAACAGTACAATGCCGCACAGTACTAAATAACAGACCGACATTGCTGTGCGCGTCTACATATATAGTTGGGGTCGAAAATAAGACATAGATGATATATGCAAAACCATTAAATATGAATGATCCAGGCCGTGCCCCAGGTAGTTCTAACTGATCCCGTTCGAGTTCGAGTTCAAGTTCGAGTTCGACGCGCGAGATTGCGTGGATCGAGCGAGAGGGGGATGGACCAGTTCGAGTTCGAGTTCGAGATCGAGTTCGGAGCGACACACAATTATCGAGCCGGGGGGGGTGGACCGGTTCGAGTTCGAGTTCGG